CTTCTCAGAGAGCCCGGCAAGCTACCGAGAGTATTCCACCCGCATGGAAAAGCCTGGCAAGCTCCCCGTGGCGTATTCGATATGCCAAAAACAGTAACAACAAATCTCACAATGGAGACGTTACTGGTGCCCGCTTGAGCAAATCGATTAATAACAGGGGGGGACAGTGCTACAGACAGTGCTGTCCACTGGGATCTTGGGGGAAGCAAAGTGAGCACCAATGGAACCTATGGAACATGTCTATGCAACATGTGTGAAATATCTGGGCTCTATCCAGGTATCTGAGTAGAACAAACTTGCCCAGCGACTGTCATTGTGATACCACAAGTGGTTTAGATCATGGTTTAGAACGGCTTCCCTCCCGTTAACATATATCTACTATATCTGATAACAAACAACAAATAAACAGGTGGTACTGAAAAATAAAACTAAGAAAAAACTAAGAAAAAAAAAACTAAGAAAAAGTGAACTCTCTTCCATTAATAGAAAAACCTGTACACCCCAGGGACCCGTCACTAAGGATGGATCTCTTCCTCTCAAGCCTCCTGGTAGAGAAAACAACTTGTGTATATGTGTTTACACACACACACACACACAGAGTTAGGACACCCTGTGCTGCTCAAAGAAGAGAGATGAAGGAAAGCTGAGCTCACTCCAACTCAACTGCAGGGAGAGATACCAGGGTGAGAGCAAGGGTGAGACGGGCTTGGAAAGCCCTTGCCCTGGTGGTCACCTACCAAAAGATCTGGACGAAGCTGGGATCACTTCACAGATACAGGCTGTTGAAAGGGCACATGCTAACCAGGATAAATTTTCAAAATGGCTTCCGTTCCCTCTCCAGTTTCACAGTTGCACTATGGGGCTGGCAAGGTCAGCTCAGCCTGGTCATAGCCCCAGGCAAGCCATTCTCTGGCCTCCCCTGAGAGAGGAGCTTATTCTTTAGGGTCCACATCAGGTGAGGGTTTTTATGAACCCCCTTATTAGTAGGCACTATCCTCTGCCCCTTCGGGACAGGCTGTCCTGTTCACATTGTACTCCACAAATATAACGATCCATTTTCCAGGAACAGTCTTACACTCTTAGGATTCAACTCTATTATATGAGAGAGGATTGGGAAGTTGAGTTCCCTGAGTATAGACACTGTCTCATATCTCGTAAGTTCATCCAACCAACCAAGCTGGGTGTAAAATAGCACCGTGAAAGTAAAGAAGCCTGAGTGGAAGGATTTGGTGTTACAAGACAACCAGCAAGGTGAGATACTGCTGCCTTTCTAGTACACCTTTTTCAAAGGACAGTGGCATGTTGAAGCAATGTGGCTGCAGCTTATACAAGTCTTTCTAGGGGGAAATACAGACAACTAGCAACACAGTGAGGATGACTAATATTTACCTAGTGTCTACCATTTGTGGCCACGTGACATCTTATTATCTTGTTCTTACTTTGGACAACTCGGCAGGCTACCAAATGTATCCTGCCCACACAGAAGAGTCTGGCAAAGTCCCCGTGGTGTACTCAATATGCCAAATACCAGTAACTATGATGGATCTCATTCTCCTAACCCTGAAAGAGCATTTCACAGGGCTAGGACGAAGGAGACATTACTGGTGCCTGCTCGAGGTAATCGACGAACAACAGGATGATCGTGATCGTGATCATAATCGTCTACTATTAAATGCTTACTGTACTGTGAACATGGAAAAGAAACAGTTGGGAACCCTAAAGAATTTTCCTGTTCCTTAGGGGAGTTTGATGACCAAAAGATGGGGCGAGCTTGAATGTTGTTCCCAGGAATGGAAGGACACTCTCACAGGGGCAATGGTCACCAGCTTGTGGGTGTATCCCACTTAGAACATGAACAAATGGGTAGGCTCCAGTTACTGAACTCTAGGGCCTTCAAATACAGGGAGGCTGCATTTAAACTAAATTCAGTATTTCAGCCTAGAATCAATCAAGACTTATTTTACATGCCAAAAAGGACCTCACAGAATTTTGTTTTTCTTCTTAAGCCACAGGAATTACTAAAGAAGGTGTAGAGACTATTGCTCTATGTGACTCTAGGTCTGATAGGAATAACAAAATAAATTAGCCTTAGCAGAGAACAATATGCATAAAAACAAAAAAAAACTTGCCTTTTCTGAATTTTCCAGATATCTGCTATACTCTGCAGGCCATGGCTCACCGATATTGCCATTGTTTGCATTCAACTTAATCACTTTAATCTTGATTAATCTATTATCTTATTTAATATAATTTATCATACATTTAGAAATAACTACATTTATTAAACATAAACATATTTATTTACTTTGTTCCACCATACAGGAAAGAATGAAAGAGTCTAAAGCACAGCATCTTCCCTAGTCATGCTGGTTGCTGATACCTCCCACTTCATTAAAGAAAACATTAGACTGACATAAACAGTGCCGACAAAGTACTGTAAAGGGGGATGGGTGAAATGTTCAAAGTTAAGGCTTTTCTTTAAACAGTGTCAAGTTGGCGGAAGATTGCTCCACTGTCTTCATAACAGAGCAGCAAGCTTAATGAGAATTACACCTGCTTTGGTTCTTCGAGTCTCCCAGGCAGAGGACATAGTAAGGATATTTTTAGAGAGCTCTGTATTTTGTCAGAAGCCTTCAAGCACATACTGCCAGTCTGTCTTCATCACCAACCCCTGTGAAGTAAGCAAGGGCTTCTCATTTTCCAGGTCAAAATCTGAGGTCCAAAAGCTTAACTGTCATGTTTATGAGCAGCAGAGTTAAAAAGTCAGGATACATTATCAACTTTCCTTGCAGCTTCAATGTGCCAAGCAGAGTGCTTAGCTTTTTGTAAGGACTCCTGTATATCTGCAACAATCCTTTTCCACCAAAAATCAGAACTCGGACATATTCAATTCCATTATGTTAATGCTGGTGAATCAATGTCTGATTAGACTTGTTTGCCTGCTATGGTCTATGGTGTTTCCCAGACTGAATGTGCTTGGCAAGGATTTAAAATACAGGACTTCTCTCCATGGCTTGGAGGCCAACCACACATGCTAGGGGAAAAGGGAGCTCAGATAGAGAAGGGAACACCAAATAAAAGGTGTTGGGAGGATCTTCCCAGGATGGGAGAAGCATGCTGAAAGTAGACTATAGACCAAACATGATTGTCACCCACTGCCTCTTTTGAAAACCACAACACCCAATAAGAGAGAGAGAACAAAAGGGAATGCCCTGCCACAGAGCAAGGTGGAATGGGGGGGGATGGGGGGTAGGAGGGATACTGGGATCCGTGGTGGTGGGAAATGGGCACTGGTGGAGGGATGGGTATTTGATCATTGTATAATTGAAACCCAAGCACAAAAATTTGTAAGTCTACAACTGTACCTCATGATGTCTCACTAATAAAAATTAAAAAATAAATAAATAAAAAAATAAAATACAGGCCTTCTAACTTCAAATTTTATTTCCTGACCACCATGGTCATCAATTCCATGAAGAGAGAGCTCCTTGATCTTAATTATTGCAATTGCATTATATCATAAATATTTGTTAATTATCTTGTTGAGTTCATGTACCTTGGATCCTAGAAGGCCTTGGAAGATATCTTAAGTTCACAACTCTATTCTATCTATTTGAAAATCAGCAAGCACAATAAATTTGTGGTAAGTAAATAAGTGTATAATCATCTACCTGAGGATTATAAAGTGTAATACACATATTTAGGCAATTATAAAAGCTATGCTAAAATCACTCCTAGGACATAATGGTTTATTAAAGCCTAGGAGACACGGGGGCAGAGCTAGAGAACAGGTGCATGCCCCTTATGTGCTGGACCCACATGGCGTCCCAAGCTTCGTGGGGTGCAGCCCTGGAGAACCCCAGCCCTGCAGACCTCGAGCAGCACCACACCACTGAGTCCTTGCACTGGAGAGCTTCCAAGGTATAAAGTTCCACAGGGTATAAAATATATGTCTGTGTACCAGCTTCTTTATGCGACCTTTTTTGGTCTGTTTCTGTCTCTGTGGAACGCTCTATCCTTTCAATTATCCAAATTCATTTTTGTTGTCACATTCGATGAGACTCTTTGCTCTTAAGAGAGAGTTAGAAGAACACTCCACACTGTTTACTGACTTCCCAGTAAGTTCAGAAAGTTTGGACTTTCAAATATTAAAGCTTTCACCGTTAAGTTTAGCAGCCTCAATCAATGACTGATAACCACCCTTTGTCTTATAACAACAAGCAAGTCAAATCCTGATTTAATACAGATAAAATGCTGAAGTTTGCTTAACAAAATGACTGGTCCACCAACATTTAGAGATGATCTAGAGTTTCAAAAGAACTTGAAATATCTTTTAAAATCATATTGATGGGAATTTGTCATTTAATAAATTCTTGAGTTTAGTTGTATATTCCAACTTCAATGAAAACCAACTTGATCAGCGGTTTGTTACAAAAGATGAACATGTCCATACCAACAAATAGCAATCGTGTCCTTTTTATGTGGCTCTAAATTTCAATTAATTTATACTCAATTCACCACTACTCTGAGTTTTATTCTCTAGTTCTAAAAAGATAAATCTTAGAAAGCAAGAAACTTCTGAGGTTCACTCTGGAAAGTACTTTTCCAGTGCACAGACTTATCTTAGAAGGATTCAAATAAACATCTCCCAATGCTTTGGGATCCTATCCAACTAATTAAGTTTTGATTCCAAAATCAGAAATATTTTGAGCAACTGAAATTTTTCAATTTAAGTTCTTCTCAACATTGGCCCTTCGTTGACAGTAGTACAAGAATCATAAAAAGACAGAGTTAAGAGATAAAGATTTTAAGGAGATTACATATAGCAAGCTTATATAAGGACAAGCAATGAAGGATTTCCAAGGAGAGGTAGAAATGACCTCCCATACACGACCCAGCTTGAGCTACATCTGTCCTGCCCAACAAAGAGAAAGGGCCAGTCAGTGCTCTAGGTAGCCTAAGAACCATCAATTAATAAAGTCATATAATTTCTCCCTTACCTGTTTTGACATTGATGGCAAAAAAATTCTGAGGATTCCCACTTGTAATCCTATATGTCAGTTTTTCACTGGAACTAGAGTCAGGGTCCTCTGCCTGGATCTGAATGACAGATACATCTTTTGGAGAGTTTTCCATGATGGCAGGATAATAAATGGGTTCCGAGGTCAGTGGGGCGTTATCGTTCACATCTTCAATTTCAATGTAGACTTCAATAGTGGAGTAGAGTGGAACAACACCCCGATCTGTAGCATACACTGTCAGCCAGTATGACCCTGTTGTCTCTCGATCAAGGATATCAGCAGTATAGATGACTCCTAAGAGAAAATAGAGAGAACATGACTGCTTCTCTGGGAAAAACCAGAAGATGAGGTAAGTCACGCCAAATTCAGAAAAGATACACAGCAACCTTGACATACGATTGCATATGAAGAAAAATACATAATACAAGATTAAATTAAGGTGTTTCTTTTTACATAAGAAAATTATCTGCAAAACCGAACTATCTAGCTCTTCTATTATCTGAAAAGTACAATTACATTCACAAATACTTTATGTAAATCTAGGGATAGACATATCTCAACACTCATGCACAAGCACACACAGTAGGAAACAGTGTGAAGAAAGTAATCGATACCATAACAGTTCCCACATTACACAAGATGACAGTGCAGTACCAGGCTGATTTTTAGGAGGTGTGGTGGTGGGACGCATGTATTGTGCTCAGGGTTTGCTTTCTGCCCGAGGATCACTCCTGGTGGTACCTGAGGTACCCTATGTGATGTCAGACAAGTGCCTGACTTTCTGTAATATTTCTTCAGTTCTTAATTAACTTCTTAAGTATCACAAAGCTCTTCAGGGATAAGTTAATTTTCCTGTCCATTTACAAAAATGAAAAAGATCCTTTAAATGTTTTTTTGCCTGTTAGGATAGGGAAAATGAACATGCAAAAATATAAGCCTTCTTCATATTGTTTCCACTGAAAATCAAATACGAGTTGTTCTAAATAATTAGTGAGGAAGCCACAGCAGCACAGCAGCAGAGTCTGTAAGTGTGAGTCCCTCAAGCACTCCACAGAGGGTCTGGAGGAAATTCTAAGCCTCTCTGAAAAAGACTCGTGGACAACTATTCTAAATGAGAACAAAAATGCCTTATCTGCTCCAAGTCATAGATTCTACTTCATGGTTAAAACAAGTGCCAGCCAAGAAGTCAAAAGTTTGCCAGAGACCTCACAGGGAAAACAGTCTTTGTAGACTTCAACCTACAATATTAGAAAAGCACTGCAAGAACAGGATCCAAAGCAGTTTCCATAGTGAAGGGAAAACCCAGCTTGCAAAACCTCTCCAGAGCACTTAGGATACTCATGGAAGACAAGAAAATTCATGTAAATGTTTATATCCTAAAAAACATTTGCAGAATTGAAAAGATCTCCCCAATTCTGGCCTGAATCCTTTATTCTTAGTCCTCCAACTGGACTTTTGACTGTATTAGGCATATAATTTTCCCTCTAGACTATACATAAGCAAACTTCCAAATATAACAACTTAAAAGTGAAGAACCTCTGCCAGAAACTATTAGTCTTGAATACTCAAAGTTGTCTAAAACACAGAATAGCTAAATTCTTCTAAGGGAGAACTGATGTTCAAGCTTCAGTTCCAAAGTCATCTACCCAAGAACCAGCATAATACTTCTACACCATGCAGTAGAAACTAAGTTTAAACAGTCCATCCCAATTAAAAAAAATGGGTAAAGTGTAACAGGTTCCTATAGATACTTGGATAACACCTGGAATCAAAATGGAAATGTGAATATTAGAGCAGGTGCCAGAAAATAGAGTAGAAGAAAAATGGGAAGAATGAAACATGCTGATTCTGAACGCAATGCTGCATCTCTTGAGTAAATAACAGGCAGCCTTATGAACTGGGTGGAGTCAAGGTGGCAGAATATCAACATAAATTTAAGGTCCAGACAATATTCTGAGGTCAAGAGACTGGCTGTTGTGTGCTTGATTTACACAGCTTGTCCACTGTAAGACAATAAGTAATGGATTCTAGATTTGAAACTAAAACATTCAAGGAAGACACCTGTTTGTTTGTTTTTTTAAATATAATTGGCCATGGGAACTGGGTAGTTACCTCATGACATCTGAGACTTGACTTCCTCATCTATAGTAGAGAAATATAAAGCTCACAGAGAAGCTGTGCTGCAGTGATGAGAGCACAGCACAATATAGATGCACAGCAACTGCCATTTCACTCACTCCACTCCAGTTTTCCTTTGTAACCACCATCGCCCCCTTTGGCCCGCCAGCCTGCCTCTATGGCAGACACTTTTCTTGTCTCTCTCTTCCCCTCTTTGTTCTTTCTTTTAGGCACTATGGTTTGTAATACTATTACTGAAGGGTTATCATGCGATAGCACAGCGGTAGGGCGTTTGCCTTGCACGCAGCCAACATGGCCAACCCGAATTCGATTCCTCCGCCCCTCTTGGAGAGCCCGGCAAGCTACGAGAGTATCTCGCCCGCACAAGCCTGGCAAGCTACCCCGTGATGTATTGGATATGCCAAACACAGTAACAACAAAGTCTCCAATGGAGACGTTACTGGGCCCGCTTGAGCAAATCGATGATCAACGGGAGGGCCTTTAAATTTTTAAATTTTAAATCATGCATATAATTTTACCTCCTCTAGCACCCAGTTCTTGTCCAGTTATCTTTTCCAACTATTATTGTCATAGTGGCCCCTTCTCTGTCTAACTGTACTCCCCACCCCACCCAAACCCACATTAAAATATTTTATCCACTTAAAAACTGTTTCTTTGGTTTAGTTACTACTGACACTGAAAATTCTTTATATATTATTCTAGATGTATGAAAATTCTTCACACATTTATCAAATATGTTATTTGTAAATATTTTCCCCAGTCCATGAATTGGATTTTTATTTTCCAATTATCTTTTGTAGGAAGTATATTAATATATTAGTCAATTTATCTTTTATAGATTTTTCTTTTGGTGTGTATCTAAGAACTCTCTGCCTAACCCAAGAGTCAAGGACTTCCATCTAGAAATTTAATATCCTTGGGTTTTATATTCATATCTATGATCAATTCTGAATTAATATTTGTTTGTGGTACGAAGTATGTATCTCCCCCCCCAAATGTTAATTTTTTGGTATACAGTCCTTCTTGTTTGCTTTATGAGCCATACCTGGAGGTGCTCAAGGGCACCTCATGGCTCAGAAATCACTCCTGAGTGCCTGAGGGACAGTATGTGATGCTGGGTCCTATAACTTTTCATTGTTCCCCACCCCTACAAAGACTATCTTTTCTCCACTGAACTGCTTTTACATTGTAAAAAATCAGTTGACCATAAACATATAGATCTATTTTAATGACCGTCCTTTCTGCTCTATTGATTAACTTACCTATCTACAAATAGTTTCATAAGAAGTCTTGGGATCAAGAAGTATATGTCCTGCCATTTTGTTCTTTTACTAAGTTGTTTAGGCTATTCCAGATCCCTTAAGCTTCCATATGAATTGTAGTATAAGTTTTAGGGTCCATATAAAATTTAGAAAAAACTATAGGATTTTTATTTGCACTGACTGAATAGATCATTTTTGGAAAGCACTGTCATTCTAACAACCTGAGTCTATTGATCCAGGGAAATGTTGATTTTCTCCACTTACTCATTTTCCATTTCTCTTACCAATGCCTTTTTGTATCAGCACCCACATCTCCCACATCTTTTGTCAAAGCTAATCCTACACCTCCCGTTTTCTCTGCTGCTGCCAGTGGCATTATTATTTTAATTCCCACCGTCTGTGCCTAGCATACACAACAGCTTTTCATGTTTATTTCCTGCAACCTGTGGAACTCACTGTGGCACAGGCTGGCAAATTCCAGGGCTTTTCTGGGACTGCAAGCAGGGTGCGTTCCCGCCAATACAGTTTCGGGGTGCCCCTAACTGGCTCCACCCTGCGCGTTCTCTAATGGGCTGGTGAGGATGGCAGGTGTTTCTCTCATGAGGGCAGTGATGGCAGCCAGGGTCGCCCCCACAGGCCCATCTCCGTGCCTCAGCTTCCTTCCCACTACCACATGCCGGCCCGAACTCTTCCTCTGGGTGCGGCTGCAGCTGCAGCTCTCTTCTCGTTCAGGTAGCAGTCCTCCTTCTCCCTCACAGGCCACAGTCCTCCTTTTCTCTCAGGGCCAGTCCTCATTCTCCCTCAGGCCGCAGTCCTTCTTCCCCTCAGGCTGCAGTCCTCCTCATGCTCCCTCGGGCCAAAGTCCTATTCCCTCAGGGCCAGTCCTCCTTCTCCCTCAGCCCACAGTCCTCCAAGATCCTCCTTCAGGGTCAGTCTTCATTCTCTGTCAGGCCACAATCCTCCTCCTCCCTCAGGCCCAGTCCTCGTTCTCCCTCAGGGCAGAGTTCAGCAGGGACCCCAGTCACCCCAGTGTGGGAGCAGTGGCCCGGACACTGTCCTCACGCGCCCGCCAGTTCGAGGACGGGCTCCAAGTCTCCACCTTGGCCCAACCACCCAGTCGCCTTCCTGAAGGTTCCTCTAGGCCCAGCCACGCCTCTCCTTGTCCCCTCTGTCCTTGCTTCAGCCGTCACAGGGGACACGCTAGGCCCGGACTCAGGAAGACTGGCGGCTGCTCCCTCAGTGCTGCAAGCACTGCTGAGGCGCAAGGACATCAACAGACTCCAGCTGCGGCCCTCAGCCCCTCAGCCAGCCGGAGCGCCTCCCACTGTGGCCCGGGTTCCTCCCAGCAGGCCTAGCCGGGAGTGCGCAGCGCTGTGGGGCACGCGCAGAGCCACGGGGCACGCGCTCCAGGCCTCAGGCACGCATACTTGGACACTGCGCGGCCCTGCACCCGCACACCAGCCACAGCGTCAGTTTTCAGAAACTCTGACCGCATGGCTCCCCTCCCGCCACCCCAGCTCTCTCCTATCCTTCGCACAGCGCAGGCGATGATACAGGTGCCCGTGCTCTGCACCTGGGCGAGGTCACCCCATCCCTGCTCGGGCCCTTCCGACGGATTTACCCTCACCAAGTGCCCTTGCCCCCCACCCCCTGCTACAAAAAACCCTTTTTTTAAATAGCACAGCAGTGCTCCCCAGAAATGCTGTGTCTGAGTTACCCATCCTGCATCTGGCCGGGCGTCGCTACCTTCCTGGCTATGGTAGATAATGCTGCAGGTCACACTGACGAGGGTCAGCACAAATCTAAGCTGTCTGGCCACCTAGTGACCAAATTTATCCCCATGTGTCAACCAGGAATCGGATACAGGGTAACCTGCTAACGGTCACTTAATCA